CTGCCATTATCCTTTTTTTTTTTTTTTTTTCTCCTGAGTCAACATTCTTAAGAGAGTATAGTGATGAGCTGAGGTGATTCAGGTGGTGTTATATTAGAATGTATTAGTGGCAGCCATCAGTGCATTTCTGCATTTCTTGCTTTGCGGATGTTAAGCTTTCAGACTTTCTCTGTTTAGTAGAAATGTAAATGTTTTCTATTAAAAGCACAGACCATAGCTTAAGACTTGTCAGAAGCTCATATTCATGAAAATCTGTGTATATGCAAAGTCCAAAGATTTTGTTCAGTGGGTTGTGTGTCCTTGTGCAAATTGTGGCTACAAGATGCAAATCTTTGCAGTAAGACAATGTGGAAATATTTGTGACTGCATCTAGGGTTATATTTCCCTGAATAAGGCAAGGGTTGTTCTTTCTCTGCCTACCTCTCCTGCTGCATCCCCCAGCCTTCTTTTTGGAGATTTAAATAAAATATCCCTCATGTTGAGGACTGAGAGAGATCTGTAGATGAGATCGTTTTGTCACCTAGACTAGAATGTCTGGGATAGTAAGATAGCTACATGGCCTCACTGGTTTATTGTTTTTAAATGGTTTAGGACTCTTGAAAACGGCATCAACTATCATTATAGTTAGTTTTATTATCGGTGTTATATAAATGTTGTCGGAGACAGTGTCTTCACAGAAGTGAGATTGCTGGTAAGTACAGCTTGTTCTGGAAGCCACATGATGAAGAAAATCTGAATTTTCAAATATTTTGGGCCATACTTTTGAAAGTCAAGTAGGAAATTGCATGCCTCATTTAATGTTTGTCCTTCTTTTTGCTTTGTGTTTTAAGTAACAAGCCAAACCCAAACCAGATCAATGTAAATAATGTCAAACCAGGAGTGGTGAATGGTACTGGAGTACAGGCACAGAACACGGGAGCAGGACGGGCTTGTGAAAGCTGTTACAGTAAGTGATGTGCCAGTATGGCAGTGGTGCATAGAGAGAGTGTGTGCTGTGCTGCAAACAGTAAAGTAAAAGTTCTGTTGTGTGGAGGGTGGGAGAGAAGGCTTTGGAAAGGTTGTGGGGTGGAATTTGACGTAGCAACATTTAAGCAGAGGTTTTTCTTGAGTTATTGGTGTTACATTTGTAGATAGAATTATGAAGTACTGAAGGAGGAGTTAGTAAATGTTCTACATAATTGCAAATAGCTGTTGAGCAGACTTGAATCAACAAGGCGTGAATTTGACTTATGTTTTAGTAGATTTCAAAATATGTATCTTTATAATAATATAAAATGTCATTGTATTTGATCTACTGCCTGATATTAATAAATTGAGTTCTAATGATTGTGCTCCTTTATGGGGAGCCTTTAGAGATGCTGGAATGTAGGACTGTACAAGTCACAGATGCCATACATTCTTTAGTCATAAAATTAATGTCTAGGGAGTTCCTGAAGACAATTTCCCTCTCCCCCATGCTCTGCAAAAATTGTTGTCTACCAGTCTTGCAAAATGAAAGCATTCAGTTTCATTGGCAGGAAAATTTCCCATCCTACTATTGTTTTTTCTGTTCATGTTTTAAAAGGAGTTTATATGTGTAATTAATTCTGCTGAAATCACAAATATCTTTAACAGTGGTGATGACTGTGAAGCCATCATCATTTTTTTAAGGTCTGTTTGAGCTTTGCACTGTCTTTGTGTGAGTTTTCTTTTGTGATGGTTCTAAAGAGAATAAGCTCTGAAAAGTGATCCTGTTTAAGGATATATATAATTTCCACCTTTGTTATCTCTAGCCACACAGTCTTACCAGTGGTATTCTTGGGGTCCCCCTAACATGCAGTGTCGCCTCTGTGCATCCTGTTGGACCTACTGGAAGAAATACGGTGGCTTGAAAATGCCAACACGGTTAGATGGGGAGAGACCAGGACCAAACCGCAATAATTTGGTAGGTATTTGCAAAGCAGACTGCTCAGTGCTTTTGCCTGGAAAGCAAGGTATCATGATATCTAAGTAGTTGTTCACTGTTCTTAAATATTTAACAACAAAAAGAATGCCTTCAGCCTCCATTGTTGTCTTTGGGTTTGGTATTTCATGTCTTGCAAAAGGTGGCATGTTGACTTCAGCTATAAGTAATTTGTTGCCAAGTACTGCCCTAAGGAAAGAATCAACCAGCATTTGTTTAGCAAACTAGGCATCAAATGCATGGGATATGAAATGCCAGCCAGTGTTTCTGGTATTCAGTTTTCATGATTTTTGCTGTAGGGCCAAGAGGACTTTTCCCCACCCCCACCCCCTCTCCATGAAGTAATTCATTATTTCCTGAAACCTGTTCTTTTTCCCGAGGCACATTTAAAATTAGATACCCCAAATAGCTAGCAGCTTTTTAGAGATCACCTATCTTGTTTTTCTGCCTCTTTTATTAATGCTCTTCCCTCTTGGATAGGTTTATGTAGGTATTGTATGAGCTGCTTCTGTTTAATTTTTCCCTTTTTATTTAAAAAACAAAATTCTCAGAATTTTTCTGAATTTCGTGGAAGTCCAATCTGGAAGCATCATACACTGAGCTGATTGGAAAAAGTACCTGCATCACATGGACAGAAAGGATAGAGCACACTGAACTTGGGTCTTAGATTAGTTTCTTTCCTCTCTCTTAGTCTTTGCTGTCATTCCCTTTCTACACCATTTCTTTTGTTTAACCTTTGTCCTTTCCAGGTGCCTGTTTGCCCTCTGAAGCTACCTAATTGCTGCAATAACTTCCAGGTTTTATCAGCTCTATACCTCTTGTTTGTTAATTTAAAAGTATGTAAATATTCAGAGAGGGGAAAGCCTTGTTCTCCCCAGACTGAAATTTCTTCCTGTTTTCCAGCTGTGGGTAGATCTGAGATAACAAGAAAGTACTTTCATTGTTTCATTTATTAACTTGGTGCTTTTCATGAAGAAGATACTGCTTTCGCTCTCTGTAGTTGATAAATGACTTTCAGTAGTATTCTTTACTACACACAGCGAATATTTGATGACTCTGAAAAAGCATTCATTGAATTCAGAGTAAGAATTGAAACAGAAATTCTTGAAACTTTGAGACAAAAGCATTCTTGCATGCTCTAAGCTTGCTTTGGGAAGTGAGTGTCTGATGTATATTTTAGCCATACAGCTGTTTTCTGATTTTTCCTTTCCCTCTTACAACTGATTTCTTATAAGGAGCTTGCATTGTATATGCAGAGCAACTTTTAAGCACCCGAAGGTGGAGGGTCTATTGACTCTGTAAGCACTAAATCATATGATAGCATCAGGTAACTTCTTCACATCTGGCTTTTGGATCCCTGCTTTAGAAATTGGGACAGCACAGAAATAAATACTTCCTTGTGAAGAGAAAACGTATATCTTCCTTTGAGATATTTTGGAAGAAAATGCCAAATGTTTATGGGTAAGATTCGGGAAATGGGGAATAGCTGGGCTGAAAATACTTTCATCTGTAATACTGTCTCTATTCTTATGTCTGTGAATCAATAGCTGAAAGTGATTTTATATGATACTCTTTCTTTTCTTTAAAACCATACTTTCTAATAATTATTTTTTAGAAACAATTTTTATTTTTATTTCTTTTTTAGAGTCCTCATGGTGTGCCAGTACGAAACAGTGGGAGTCCCAAGTTTGCTATGAAGACACGACAAGCCTTCTATCTCCACACAACAAAACTGACAAGAATTGCCAGACGTTTATGTCGAGATATCTTGCGCCCTTGGCATGCTGCAAGGCATCCCTATTTGCCTATTAACAGTGCAGCAATCAAAGCAGAATGTGAGTGGTGGTGCGGCTGGGACCTGCTTGCAAAGGAGCCCTTTGAGATTCCTTTCCTATAAAGTTTGAGATGCGACTTCCTGAGATAATCTTTTGTATGTAGCTAGTGGTTTCACAAAATGTAGCTATGTTGCAGAGGTTCTATCTTACTGTAGGCTAGACAAATAAGGTTGAAAATTCATGAGCTGGTTTTTTAAAATATTCATGTTTGCTATTATGTTTAGCATTCTCCTGTATTTGTGTCCTGTTGGCAAGATATGCTTGCAACCTGTAAAATTTCTTTGTAATTGGAAAGCTCTTTAGAACACTTGAGTTATTAATTTAATTTTGCTATAATATCTCAATGTCTTTGCACTCTAATTATTTTTCTTTGTTTTACAGGCACAGCACGTTTACCTGAGGCATCAGAAAACCCATTGCTATTAAAGCAAGTGGTTCGAAAGCCTTTAGAAGCAGTACTCCGGTATTTAGGTACTAAAAAAACCAAATACCACCAAACATACAAACCCCAACCAAATCAAAAACCCTTCTAGCTAATTCTTCTGACCATTTCTTCTTCCATTTGGTTCTGGATTTAGATGCTGGTTTTGTATTAAAAAAAAACCAAAAAACAACAGAACATGAAAACCTTCCCATTAACTTGTTCTTTTTTTATTTTCCTACTTAATTTGATAGACCTAGTGCCTCAGCAGTCCACTCTGATCTCATGGAACTGTATCATTAATTTCAAGTGAAGAGGGGAATGTGTTTGCTGTGGCTTCTGATTTATGTGAGGATAAGTTACTATCTGCTAATGGAAGCACAAATGTTGTGTTCTGGGAACAGTTGGTCAGTCCACTGTTCCAATTTTTGGGCTGTCTGGAGGCAGTTCCTACCTAGAGTTGGGTTCTCCAAGAAGCCTCTTGGTTTAGGACAGCACTAACTCCCACAGCTTGTCAATCAGTTGCTGGCTGTTCTGTGCTGGAGCTAGAGAAGGGGACTATACTTCCATTCTTTACTTTCTTCTTAGTTGTTTTGTTCAGTTTTTTGTTTGCAGTTTTGTTGTTTGGTGTTTTTTTGCTACGGTTTTCTTGAGGACCTGGGCCTCATCAGCTGATCTGTGGGGGATTACTGAGTAGCTATTTTCAGAGCCTTTGTGTATGTTTGAGGTGCTGGAAATATCTAAAGTGACAGGCCAGTTTGACTACAAATGAATGCAAAATCATTTTCTCTAGTGTTGCTGGTTGCTAGTGTTACACTGAAAACACATCTCAGGTTGTTACAGTCTTAATGCGAGTCTGACCTCCGAAAGCTAGCTTAGGCCTCCAGGTTAACAAGGGGGTTGATCGCCTTTTTACACTAATAAGAAACACTGGAGTCAATTTATGTTTCTTTGAACATTTTTATTGATGAAATATTGTAAGGCTGAGGGTTTATTAAATATTTACTACTTCTCTGTTGAGTGTTGTACTTCTACTGTATACTAATGACACACACTGATTGAGAAACCTTTGGATATATACAGAGCAACCAGAGAAAGACAATAAAGGGAGAAGTTTTGCCGTTGAATAAAATCCTGCTTGTAATAGTTGTACAGCATGTAGCAGTAAATTTTGAGATTTTATTAGTGCTATGTCAGGGTCTCCATTTGACTGTTTAGCTGGGAAAAGGGAGTGAAAGAAAGGGAGGGAAGTTGATGGGCTGGCAAGAACATATTTTTGGAGGTGTCATGGTCAGTGTGCTTTAAAGCTGTATGTTACTTGGCTGTTGGGGCTGCAAGGAAAAAAATGTGTGTAAAGCTTCCGTTTGCTGTTGCTTGTAATTTTCTCAAAGCCTTTTCAGTTGAGCAGCATGTGCTTGATCTCTGCCTTGGCCAAAAGGTTGAATTCAGACTCTGTGAGTTACTTAGAGTGGTGCTTTGAATCCTCACTTGTTTGGCCACTTTAGAAATTGTATTTTTTGCAAGCCTTGCAAAGCTGGCGAAGTTATAATTTCACCAGAATTTAGGAGTGTTGCGTGACTGCCCAAAGATGGCTTTTAATATAGAGCACCCCCAAAGGATCCCAAATTGTTGGAGAATAGTGTTTTGGAAATGGGTACAAAGTGCTTTTGTTACCAGCCCTTCTTGTAGGATAGTATGAAATTGGGGTTAATGTCTTCAGTAGAAGTGTATTCCTAAATATACTTAAAGTGCTTTATATAAATAGCAATCTTCAGTTAAAATTATTGACTGAGATAGTTTGTATACAAGGGGAGGTATGCTTTGTCACCTTGGAAATTTGCAGGTTGTTTTCAGATTTGTAATTTTGAGTATCTTCACTAATAACAAACCCCTACCTTGCTGTTCTTCAACAGAGTCTCATCCATGTCCTCCGAAACCAGATCCTGCAAAGAGCTTGTCCAGTTCTCTCAGCAATCTGACTCCTGCTAAGTTTACGCCTGTCATTAATAATGGGTCCCCAACTATCCTGGGAAAAAGAAGTTACGAACAACACAATGGAATGGATGGTAAGTATTTTTCTGCAAAATGTAGATTGCCTGTATAGGCTTTTTCTTCCGTCCTTTTGGTATACAAAGAGATCAGTTAAAACTATAGTTTTTTATATAAAATACAAGTTTCTTATTCTTGAGGGAGGTTAATTTCTTTCCTTTTACAAAATGTCACTTATCCCATTTCTCCTTTGGATGAGACACATGATGTGTACTGCCTGGGTGGTGTACGTAGATAGGTGCTGGTGCTGGTGGAACTCTGCCTAGCTTGACCAATCTTGCAAATGTGATAGTGAAGGAGAAGCTTCCTTTCAATTTTTTTTAAATGGGTAGTATGAAAAAAACCCCTTATAGCTTAATCCTGTGATGCTTCCTTTTTTCTTTTGAGGTTTACAGCTTTTTAACCTTTAGGTAGTAGCTATGCATTTACCAGGTGGCTCTGTAACTTGTGCATCACCTGGTTATGAGTAAAGCTACCAGAAGCTGCTGCTTAGCTGAGGGGGACAGATCTGCCAGATCTGGTGTGGCATAAACCTGCCCCTGCCTTGTGCAGAACCTGAGCATTAGCTTTTGTTGGCCCTGTCACTGAGCACCTCTTTGCAGTGGAGTTTGGGCTCCATCTCCTCAAGATTAAAAGACATGGGGAAGATGTTTGGAGTGGGAGATAGATGCAGGATGTTACTGGCGTGAACTCTAGGGCTCTGTTCTGTAGAGTTGCTCTTGCCTGGGATTGTCAGGGAAGAAAAAGTGCAGTCTTTTTCTCAGATGAGGATAAAAGAGACTGTTCAAATGGTCGCAACAGGAGTAAGAACGTGAGGGTAGCTCACCTTAACAGGGGAAAGAAACAGGTGGTTTAATGGTGACTGAGCAGGGAGAGAGAGAGAGAGTCTTTTTTTCCTTTAATTCTAATTTTATAAGTAGCTTATCTGAAATACAGTTACAAACATTTGATATCTTACTGTTTGTGTTTTAACATTAAGAACTTTTTAAACTGCTGCTGTTCAGGTTGCTGATGTGATGTTTTTCTCTTTTCTGTTCACTTGTGCTCTATCAGGCAACATGAAGAAGCGCCTGTTGATGCCTAGCAGGGGTAAGACCTTGAAGCTGCGCTCAGCTTATGCTAGGAGAGTGATTTTTAGTTTCATCTGCTGGCTTGTCTGTGCTTTGTGGCTAATGAGTCTGTGTGCTCCTTCTGTGTTGATGTCTTAAGTGTTTCTGGGTAACCATTTCCACCCATGGTTATGCTGCTCACCTTCCAGGCTTTTCACATGCAGACAACAAATTGTACAACCATACTGAAGACATGAAGTGCTGTGTTCGGAATTGATTACTAATTCCTCAAGTTGACAGAAAAGTTTTCTGGTAGTTCTGTGAAACTGCTGAAAGCTGTGACAGTTGGCTCGAAATTAGGTGTTGTTTCATTGTTTGCCTTTTAAGAAATCAAAGTTTCATGTGTCCTAAACTACTTCAAATTCACTTCGACCAAAAGGAATAGAAGACTATTCACATCAAGTCCCACGTTTAAGCCTATTTTCCAGTGTGAGTGGACAGTCACTGGTGATAGACTGTCTGCACATTCTCTACTTGCAGTAAAATAGTTTTCAAAATTTCCACAGGTTAAAAGTAAATCTGTTCTGACTACCGAATAGACCTCAGAAGCTTTAGTTTGTGATAATGCAGGAAACGTACATATGATGTCACTTAGCCAAATTTAGTAGAACAGGCGCATTTTGGACAGTTAGGATACATGAATGTTATTGTGAGACAGGCACACACAAAAACTTCAGCTTATGTGTTACCATGAAATGGCTGACACTGCATGCCCTGATGTTAAGCTTTGTGTTTAATGGCTGAGACAGTGGATGACAGTTGTCAGTATTTACATGCATGCATATATATAAGTGCATGTGGAGAATGAGGACAATGATCGTTCTACAGTTTTGCTTTCTTTGGTAATTTATACCTTGATACTGTGTTGCTGAGTTTTTCATGTGCATTTTAACTTTCATGTTTTGGAAAGAGTAAGAAAACCCTGCTGCCTTGGTCAGTTTGGCATCCTCAGAAGCTTTGTCCAGTAATGAGGGATGTAGATGTGGAGTAGCTCTCTGAATTTCCACAGCTCCTAGTGACTACCTGCTTATGGGCATGTGTATTGCTCACTGCTGGATGTCCTCATCAACAAGGGTACTGCTGAGTCACTCAGCAGATGACACACTTCCAAAGCTCTGAGATGTTGTGTCCCAAAAGAGGAAAGTAGAACCAATTCTTCCTCAGGAAGGTGTTCTCTGCATAGAGCACTAGATTTGATGACCTGAGATCATTTGCTTACTGGAAATGGAGGATTCTTGGTTTAGTGTTTTAAAATGTCTGTCTGCTGGTATACATATTTGATTAGATACATTTCAGTCATAACTGCTGCTGGAGCAGTTTGCAAAAAGAAGATTTTGGTGAAGTACCTGTTCAGGCTTCTCAGAATATATGTTTCTCTGAAGCATGTGTGCGCAGTTGTGCAGGCAATGTCTCTTATCCTCATGCCTGCTGTTTTATCTGCTTGGTCTGCTCTCAGCCAGCCACTGAAATACTTGGTATAGAATTTATTCCTATAAATGCTAGGTTGTGGAACATGATTCAGTCCCAGAATCTGTTTACCTGCTGAGGTACTGAGTGTTAACTGGATATATCTGTGAGCGGTTCAGCTGAAACTTGTTGGTTGATGTTTGTGAATGGAAAATGTTTGCCACACAGCAGTTTTGACACTGACATGTTTTCTGACCCTGGGTTACTGGAAGCTTTGCTGAGACAAGAGAGGGAAGGGAACCACCTGCAAGGAACAGGGTTTAAAAAACTTGGATGAAGATCTGCTGGTCACAGGCAAACAGATGGTGGAAGTTTGGTGGGTCTATTTTTGGCCTGCTGTCAGTTTGTGTGCCAGTGCCCACTTAGCACTGACGCCCAGTTGCCTTGTATGTGAGCTAGGAACTTTTGCCAGCTTTGGGCATGGCTAATGCTGGTTTCCTGCACTGTGCCAGACCTGGGAACATGGAGCTGGGACTTCTCCTTTGCTCTATATATGGAATCGTACACGCTTACTAGTTTGGGGGAGCTGCTGGTGAGAAGGGAAAGGAGGAGGCTATAGAAGGAGCACAGGCTGAAACCATTGTGTAGAAGAGGTGAATTGCAGCAAGAGCGATGAGGCCATATGACCATAATTTGGGAGCCAATGAATTAGTACAAAAGGATTGAAATAAACCTATCTAGAATGACTGACTTTTGGATAGCAACTGACTTAAGATAGAAAGATAATGGGAATAAAAAAACTGGATTATTATAACCAGTCAGATTCTTCATTTACATAGCTCCTATGTAAATGAAATTGTGGGGGGTTCTTTGTTGTTTTTGTGGGTTTTGTCTCCCCTTAATGACACACAGTGGCACACTGTCTGGTTTAGGTCATTGTGGGAGTGTACTGCAAAGAAAAGCTGGTGTTAAAACAACTGCATGGGGAGGTTGAAAATATTCTTTCTGCAGAAATTCAGGTACAAGAAGACACTTTGTCTACCTATGTTGAAATAGTTTTCAAGGAATCGTTGACCTACTGCAATGTTACATGAATTATCCAGGGGTTTTTCTGCTTCCTGTGGATGTGCTGTGTTGGTGGCACCTGGAAGATACCTTACAGTTTGGAAAGGTTACCATGTCAAAGTCTGACACATGACAGCAGACAGCTGTTACGGTGGGCTTTAGCTTAAGTCTCTTTGCTGGTGACAAAAGCCTTTTGGTGCTGGGCTCTTGCTTCCAAATTTACTGGAGAAGTATGTATGCTGTAAATTATGGCTGGTTGGTAAGCTGATTCTATGTAACAAGTTCGTAATTCTTTCCTAATGGACAGTGCATAAAGCAATATAAAATAGAGATTGCTTTGCAGGGAATGAGCCAAGTAGCAGCTTATATTTTTTCTTAGAGTAAAGCATTAGCATCCGTGTTTATACATGTATATTGGTGATCAGGTTTCTAAAGCATTTAAATTCCCATGGCACCTGCTACCTTTGTTTAGAATTAGGCTGTTTAACATTGCTGAAAACTGAACTGTTCATGTAGGTTTTTGGGTGTTCCTTCAGGCAACACTGCTGAAAGATTTTCATCTGAGTCTCTACCACCCCTTGGTATTTAAGGTGGTGGGTAGTCAGTGGTCGGAATTCAGCCTTCAGAACAGTTCATGGGTGAAGTGCCTTGCATGTTCCTGTGTGAATGGACACACTGTTCCTGAATGTGCCTAAGCAATGCCTGAGGGTGGGTGGGTTAGAGATGAAGACCGCCTATTCTATAGGTGGATGCAGGTTGGTCAGGTTGAACTCTGGCGATGAGAGATCAAGGAGGAAAGAAAAGGAGACTGATTTTAGTGGGCTGTAGCCAGAGCTAACTAAAACTAATTAGGAAATTCTGGAAATTGCTGGACTTAAAAAAGTACCTCAGAGTTTTCCTTTGGAATTTTGCTGTTTTTTTTCTCTTGCTACTGTATCTCTAGCTAAGTATCTTTAACTTTTCTTTTTCTGACTTGTCCCTTCTTAATGCTAAAAACCTGAACTTTTTCAAGCATGAGTATGATTTGTCTGGCCGGGCATCTAGAGTTTTGACTGGTGCTTGAATTCCAAGAACAGGAAAATATTCTTAATCTCATCTCTCCTCATTACCTCCAATCTATTTTACAAGAATGGTATACTTCTTTAATTTACTTTGTTTCAGCTTCTTTAAATCATGTTGGAGGCATCATTAGGCATACAGTGCCCTTCCCAGCTCCTTCAGTGTTAGATTAGCATGGACAAATTGCTGCAGAATCCCGTTTTTAGAGCATGAAAAGTACATGGAGTCTCATAAGCTGTCAAGTACAGCGAAATGTTAAAAATTATTAGTTTATTGCTTTTTCATTAATAGTCTGGAGCTTGACTGACAGTATTTGCCATTAAACTTCCTCTAGAGAGATAGAGAGGGTGTTTTATATTCTGGACCCTGTATACTTTTTCCCTTGCAGCTATCCAGTATGAGGGGCCTATGTGATACTTGTCAATGTAAATTCCTACTGGAGGATGGGAGAGAGCATTGTTAGATTTTTATTTTTTTTCCCTTATCTTTTACACCATGTTAGCTTTCATCTAATCAAACCTGGTTTTCAGGGTCATCACATGCACTCTAAAATTGGCAGAGAGAGAAAACATGAATGAGTAGCTGAAATAAAGGGAAGGCTTTTCCCAGCAGCAAACTTGCACTGATAAAATAGTAGTGGATCAAATGCTGAAAATTGGAGAGGGTTTATAGAAGAGCCATGAAAATGGTGAAGGGACTGGAAAACGCGCTGCATAATGCTTCTATCAAAGTGGAAGTTGTAGATGTTTGTCTCTGCTGACAGGAGCAGCAGAAGTGTAATAATAGAGGGCTTTTTAGTCTAGCTGGGAAAAGAATAATGAGCTGCAGTAGCCAGAAGGTACAGGAGAAAAACTTTGGCTGGAAACAAGCCACGAATTTTTTGAGTGAGTTTAATTAACTGTTGGAATACCTTACTTCTGCTACTGGGGATTTCTAAACCAAATGGAATGTCAGTCTAATTTAACATGTTCTGGTTCACTGTTTCTCACCTCCTTTTGGGGAAATGGGAATGAACTTCTGGAACTGGAAGCATTCATCACCCTATCATGGCATTAGTTTAATTATCAAAATAGGAGCATGAAAGTAGAAATACTTCTCTTGAACAAAGCAGATGTTGAGGTGGGAATGTAGGGAAGTTCTCTAGTATCGGCTACGTAGGTGACCATACTTAACCTCAAAGCTTTTATTTTGGCTTAGACCTTGCACAAAGTTTGGACTTCTCTGTATGCATAAATTGCATTAAAATTCTGCTGTTATCAGCAGTGGCCGTTGCTGCTCTTCCAAAGTTGTGGATAACCAGCCAAAGGAAATCTGCCTATCCAGGAATGACTGTAATTGGCAGGAAGTACTGGTCCTTTGATGAGTAATGTGATACATAGAGTACTGGGTAGTAGTCCTGGCTTTAGCTATTGATACCTGGACTAGAGTAATGCTGATTAGTGTCAAAAGATAGGTGTTCAGTGCATCTTAAAGGAATGACTGTTTCTTGCCAGCAGCAGCACAGCTCGGAAGAATGACAAGTTGCCTGAAATGCTCCTTGGAGACCCCGAGAACTGTGTGCCTGTGCAACTTCCTCACTTTAGATTATATGTCAAAAGTACAGATTATTTTTGAGAATTTTACTTAGGATTTTGTATTGAAATATTAAGTGAAACTTTTTCACTTGCCTTCAGCTTAGCCAAGATACTGTGATTAATTTCTTCTGATGTTATGGAGAAAGATCTGGAAAGGAAATCAGCAGATGGGCATTGTGCTCTATGAATCAACTAGTGAAAACCATTTCATTTATGAGGAATGGCATGGAGTAATATGCAAATGTTGATTGAGAAAGAGGAGAGTGCATATCCCAAGGCAGTGGTAAAAAGCAAGTGTAATTATTATGAGAGGAAATTAATGTATAACAATTCAAGGGCAGAATTGCAAATGTCCCAGATAGTACAAAGCCTGAATTTGTCATTAGGTGGAATCTATGTGTGTGATACATATTATATGTGTATATGCGTATGATGTGTAGTACTCCCAGTTCTAAGAACAGTGAATAATTCAGTGCTTTTTAGTTCGTATAGCTTGGATCAGCAGATCATAAAGCAGTGAGGTGCATGGTTTTGTTGCCTCTATTTTTTAACCACAGTGTGTTACAGTGAGACAGAATATACTGTGATGCTTTTCTAGGGATGCAGGTGAGTGTCATGGTTTAAGCCCAGCCGGTAACTCAGAACCACACAGCTGCTTCCTCACTCCCCTCTGCCCCCATTCTACTCCCCACCCCTCAACACCAAGATACATAGCAGCTCTCCATTCTCAGCATGCTTGTCCAAGGGTAGCTTCTGACTTGCTGTAGTTGGATGTCACTGCCCAGGAAGTATTAATAGGGTCCTTGAAGTACTCTTAGCAGAAGGTACAGCTTTGCATGAACAAACACATCATCTGAGAAGTACTGTAAAGCAAATTAATGTGAATTGTTAAACCAAGCATTTTAGGAAGGATTGTCCACATCCAACAAGGTTGATGTGCAGGGGTTATAGAAGGAGATGGGGAACAAGTCGCTACTTACTTATGCAAAATTAAAGCTCTTTTTTGTGGTATCTTTCTTCTGGCATTGCTGTCTGTTTAATGTTGTCTTGGGTTTATCTGTCCCACAGAAAACTCTGATCACTTCTGTGTTTCATTGCAACCAGACCACTCTTGTGTTCCTGTATTTGTTGCATGGGGCTGGGCTACTGTATTCTGAACTATGCGAATCTTTCCTTTTTTTAACCTTAAGTCTTTTTTTCCTTTTCCTTTGCCAATCTTGGTAGGAACTTACTTAGGTAAGTAAACTGCAATTTTGACATTATTTTTATGTACAACAGAATTTTAAGAAAATATTAGTTTAGGTTGTGTTTGATACAACTTATGCTCTGTTCTGCTTATTGCACTTGAATTCCTAGAAGTTTATAGCCTTTGATCATTAGAAGGTGTACTCTCAGTTTGCTCACAGCAGTATCACATTCTTGGCAGTTTAAGAAAAGGAGAGGTGCTAAAGCATTTTTACAAGCTTGCAAAAACTGTGTGTATAATGTCAACATGCAGAGACTACTTCAGGTGAACCTGTAACTTGGAAGTGAAATCCTTGTTCATCAAGCCTCATTCATGCATGATTTTTTATATTTTTTTCTAGCTTGCTCACAAATATGGTACTGTTGATGTTCTTGTTACTGCTGGGAAGGATGGAATCCCAGGAGGAGGATTACTTTTGGAAAAGGAAAATGCATGTGAAGAGTGTATGGAGTTTTGAAAGCAATGTATTTTAGTATAGTAAACTTGCTGGTTGTGAAAGTGTGTGTTAAATTCTCGACGTTCACTGTGACTGAAGATGCGCTTATGAATGTTACTGCATATTGCATGTTCTGCATGATGCTTCTCTTTGGTAAAAACAAGTTAAAACCAAAATGCCATCTGTGACTAACTGCTTGATGTTAACATGAAGGACCCATATTTTTGTGTGTGCTGGTGGATATACCAGAGATTGGAGTTAGTAAGTTTGAGTAAATACAAATTTAACAACTGCAAGTTATGTCCAGTGGCTGAAAGCTGGGCTACTCTTTGTCCTTGGTACTAGGGTCAGGTCTGTACAGACTTCCTGTGCCAAACTATGGCATAGTTTATAAATATGCAGAGTATGGTGTGTATGTCCAGGCATGGAAAATCACTGGAAGGTTTCTAACCAAGAAGAAAAGTGGCCATGGTTGGTGCTTATTCTGGAGCTTTTTGGTGCTTGGTGTAGTAACTTCATGGGAGTATCCCTGCACTCCAGTCTGCATTGGGCACACTGCTGAGGGCTTAGGCTCTCCTGCTTCTCAGAATTGCAGCTGTGTATTGTGCAGAGTTGGTTTAAAAAGCAGACTGAATTTGAGTGGTGGGAGTAATTTTTGAATGCTGCCATTCAGGTGTTGAGGTCCTTTTGCTGGACTTGCAGGGGATGGGATTGGATAAGCAAAAAGCATACGTGTCTACTCTCAGGCTTCCAGTGGGACCAGATGTGCTGGTTTGCATCCCATTGGGAGATTAAGTTCCCATGCTCCACTCACTCTGTGTTGTTGGGTGCCAACTATTCCCTCCTCACACAGCATGCTCTTGAGGTGGTGCTTGAGTTGCTGCTGGAAGTTTAGGTATTTCTTCATTTTGATGTTTTGCTTTTTTTGTTGTTGTTGTGTTTTTGTTTTGTTTGTTTTAACAAATCTGAAAACATTAGATTCGAATGATAGGAAATGGTTGGAAAAGAAACAGGTTGGTTGACTGAGAGGTAGTTCCCCCATCCTTAAAAAATAAAGCTGCAAAGTAACAGTAGTTGCAGACTTGTTTTGCTGTTTGTGATAGTCCTTCCCCGTCTGTGTTTCTTTGGATGAAAGTATATTCATCTGCAGCTTTGATACTTCAAGAATGAAAGAATTATTAGGGCATAGTAACCTGCTGTGACTGGTTTTGAGCCAAGATCTCTGTAACTGTGCTTATGCTTGAAGAACAGTTCTGAGGTCTTTGTCGCTAAGCTGTGGGGAGTGGAGGAATGCTCTGTGATTGTCAGTTAATCTCTGTACTGTGATCAGGTGTTTTATTGCCGTTCCAGTAACAATGTAGAATTCGTCTGTGGCAATGGACGTTTATGCTTATCTGCAGATATACCTTCAATTTACCTTGTCTTCATTTTATCCTCTGGGACTTCCTCTTCCGTATATAGAGGAGACTGGCAGGAGGAATTGAATGGCAGGATATTTTGTAGGTCCTTGGGGTTTTTTTTCAGTGCTATTGAAAAATCATAGAATCTTGAGTTTTCAGAGTGCGTTTCAATTTCTTTGTCTGCAAAGAGTGGAAGACCTGCTGAGGTTCATCATTTTAGACTTTCATACTTTGTGGTTTTAAAGGTTTGGTCGATCCTGAAAATACCTCTTTTCTTTCTTTTTTCGTCTTTCTTTTTTCTTCTTTCTTTTTTTTTTTTCTTATTTTTTCTTTTTTCCCTTTTTTATCTCAGTTGGAGATTAGTATTGTTTGTGATGTGGTGGAGCTATGTTAATTCATATCAATGATATCTAAGGTCCAATGCAAGCAGTTGGACCTTAGATACCATTGAAAGGAACAGTCATGCTTTCTACCCTGTGGCTTCTTTAAACATCCCTCCATAAAATAAAGACAGGTTTGTGGTTTTGTTTTTTTGTTTCATTTTTGGGGATTTTTCCCCTGGAGAGGAGCTGCCAAGAACCCTCTTGTATTTTGCTTCAGATTTATATTCATGAGCTATCTTATGTTTTTAACTTGCTTGTGGATGCAAATGTGAGAAGTGTCTCTCAAACCTTGATCTGTGAAAATGGAACAAGTATGTCAGGGAGGACTAAGTTTCATATGGTGAGTTAAGTGTCTGCCCCACTCCTTACACAGAGATAGAGGGTTGGTTTAGTTCTTAGAGATGCCTGTCTCGCAGACCTCATATTTTCCACCAAAACCTTTTGGGCAAGAATCCATTGTTTACAGTACAGGTGCATCCTGTTGACTTCACAGCTGTTCTGCAATGCATTGCAGATGTTATACTGTTTCTCTGCATCTCTTTGGTGACCATTGCGGGTGAAAGTTGTTCATCTAATAGCAGTGCTTCAGCTGCATGTGTTTTTATTGGGATTTTTTTTTTTTTTAAATTGCAAACTGAAGCTAATCTTTCTAGTGTCTGTTTCCATTCTTTCAAACTCCAGTTTTGAAAAACTTCAAAAAAACTTCAAACTTCAGTCACATCAAAGTGTGACTGAAGGGAAAATTCAGATAGCTAAGATTAATATGCTAATTGATACTTTATTACTGTGATAGCAAGCATACAAATTGTATTGAAACTGTAACTTTGTTTTTGTCCTATTGTACTGGAGCAAAGAGTTGTCACAGGTAGCTTTATCCTAGAAAATATAGCTTAGAGCCTGAGATATGAGTCCCTGTGGTTTAGCATTGGTGCTTTGCTGTTTGAGGGCTCTGAGGCTTTGGGGGTCAGAGTAATGCTGAGCCTTCACTCCATTTGTATCAGTCTTAACATTTCTTCTCATTGTGGAATATTCTGAGTTAATTCTGGTGCTTGGGAATAGCACTGTTTACTGTTTGTTGTACATCCAGCAGTAGTCATCGCAGCAGCCACATATCAGCTGCTCCTGTAGGCTAGTCTGTTCTGTCATCAAGAAAGTTCTTAGTACAAGAAAAGAGCTGATCTGGAGTGTGGTTAAAATGAAATGTGTGACTTCAGTCCAGGGACTAGCATCAATTGATTTACATCTCTCGGAGCTCCTGTAAATGAAGAAACTGTTATCTTTCTGTTAGGAAAGGGGAAGGAAAAAACAAATGCTAGAGCTTGGCTCTGAAGCCAATGGATTGAGGTTGCATCCTGCTGGCTGTGCTGTTTCCCAGTATCCGTGGAGCTCTTTGTCCGTCCATCTCAAATGGCTGCTCACAGCTGTGTTTTGGATGCAATTACTGCTCCCATGTAAAAAGGAATTATTATCTGGTGCCTACACTGCCTTTGTCAACATCCAGAGGTTGTTACTGGTCTTCTCACTTGGTGTCTGGTACATCTGTTCTGCAGATTTGATGGAAATCTTTCTGGCAACTATTTCTTCATCTCTGTGGATACTCAGGAACAAAAATGCTGCAAAAAAAATGAAACTATGTGTCTTTGTGTTTGAAGTAGCTACACAGAGTGGAAAATATACTTGAAATAAACTGTTGGTTTTATTGTGGTGTTGTAATACTCAATGCTCAGGCAATGTCCCCCATTCTGCCTTCCTCCCTCCCACTACATTGCTGTGCCATGGGTTTCCTGGCATAGTTGCTGTGAGTAAGTTGTGTTTGTTTTGTCAAGGAGAACATTAAGGAATCTGTTGGAGTATGGACCATGAGCTGTAAAAGTCCATTTTTGCTGGATTCTTTAAAAAGCTTTGCTCTTTCATCACAGTTTAACTCGCTAGCAATGGGAAGTTTCAGAAGCCGAGCTGGGAAGCTTGCTATAAATGTGAAAGTAGAATTCACACTGGTAACTTCTGCAGCCAGCGACAGCATTTGCTGATGCTTGTCCTGTAGTATCTGTTGGATTTGGTATCCTGACATTTTCGTTCTGAGCCAGAAGGGGCTGAGAAAGATGATCTGGTGCACTGATGCTAATGAAGTGGTGTTTTTGGGGAGCACGCATCTCAGAAAACTAAACCTAACTAGACCTAAAAAGGTTCATTAAGTCTCCGATCATTCTGTGCCATACCCTGCTGCCTTACAGCGACATGTCATTCTCTTACATACCAAGACCTTTGTGTGTCCTACAAGGTCTTATATATGTACAGTTCAGTACATAGGCTATGGCAGCATGATAGGGTATCTGATAGTATAGCAAATAAGGTAGTAGAATCAAGCTATTGTGCTCAGTGCTTTACAGTGCTGTTTGTGTATTACTGTGGAAGGGCTTTGTGTGGTAGCTAGAGTCGCAGAGCTTTGTGACTGATGGAGCTACGCCTGTGCAAGTATTTA